TTAAGAACTAAAAGTAATTTTTAGTTTCTCAACATCTAATCAGAGTTTGACCACTGCAGAATTAAATGTTTTAATTTGTGATGAAATTATAAGTACACATGCATATCGCATCCATCGATTGATTGCCATATTCTGCTAGCAGTTAATAATCTTGAAATTATATTTACACGATAGTAGTCTAATACTATCTCCGGTCCTTATTATAAGACCTTATTTGATTTTTATTTTAGTCTTAAATATAAGATGCCAATCCATTTTGTCTTTCATATTTATATATTTTTTTCTAAAGTAATATTTCTAATAATGATAATTCTAGCCAACACACTTAATTAGCAAGGATATTTTAGGAAAGACAACACTTATTGCTACTTCCGGTCCTAATTATAAGAGCTAGTTGACTAATTTGAAAAAATTAAGGAAAGAAGTTAGGTTAGTTATTTGTAATAAATATGTGTTGTCTTTCCTAAAATATCCTTACCAATCAAGTATATTGGTTAGAACTACTATTGTTAGAAAGACTATATTGGAAAAAATATATAAATATGAGAAAAAAAGTAGACTAGGGTCTTATATTTAAAACCAAAATAAAAGTCAAACAAGGTCTTATATTAAGGACCGGAGGTAGTATTACAAATAACTAACTTAATTTTTTTCCTTAATCTTCTCAAATTAGTCAACTAGCTCTTATAATTAGAACCGTAGGTAGTATTTGTGAACTCATTCTGACGGAAATGAATTTTTCATATCTGTTGAATGAAAGACATTGGGATTACTTTAATTACAGACTTGCAATATTTTAATATGTGCGTGTGTGTGTGAGCAAGCACACACACACTTCTTCCCCCTGTCGAAAAGTTCACGTGAGCTTTGTTCCAGGAAGACTCACCAGTTAGGGAGTACTTAAAAAACTACCCAGAAATAGTTCACCAATAAATTCTTTTGTACAGGTAGTGGGATTCCATGGTCTTATGAGTTACTACTTGTCAAATTTTCATTAATTGGACTAACTTTTGTTCTTTTGTAAAGCGGATGCATTTTCTTTTTTGAGACATTACTAAACGCTAAATATATGCATCTCTTTTGGTAGGGATTGACATCTATATTTATTGCTTGATAGTTCTTTGAGCATGATTAGCTTTAACGGGATATCGTAAAAAAGCTGGTATTTAGACCTAAATCTGTTAAAGGCTTGATTAATTGAACTCACACAACACACTGTTTGTATTGGGCCAATGATTTATAAGGCTGCATTCTTTTGGTATTAAGGTTGTGAAAGTTACCAATAGGGATTTGATATAACGGAAAAGATTAGTTCTCTACAACGTGATGAATCAAAGTTTGAACTTTCATAAGAAGGGGTGTATACATTTAGTGTATGACAGTATCTCGAACAGAATTGCTTTCAATAAGAAAATACTTGTATCTATCGAGAAAAAAAAAGTTATGAAAGTTGCAAATAAGGAATGACCACAAATGATGCATCATGGGCATTCAAGGCTTAATTGCATCAATAAATGGATATAAAGCGTATGGTAGGCAAAATTAGTCAAGTGGATTAGAAGCAATCAGCTTAGAATAATTATGCACATAGGGCTAGCGGGGCAAGATCAGGACAAAAAATTTGGATGTGTAAATGGTAAATAAATAAGAGAGAAGAATAGAAATAAAAGGTGGTTTTTTTTTTAAAAAAACTATGCATAGGTATATTTTTATTTGATATAATCGTGTCTGAAATAACTAAATGTGAGGAAAAAGTGGGTAGGGTTGGGATCAGCCAAGAACGAAGAAAACAAGAACAAGTGAGAATGTCGGACAGAAACTTGAAGATTTTTTTATTTATTTTGTTGGGCTCAGAAATAGGAATCATATTTGAGCTGGGCCTAGTACCAAACTTAGGCGGGTCTCAAAAAAAGCAAAACATGTCCTGTATGACTCTATTTTGTAATTGCACAGACCATCAATTTTTATAGATTTAAAATGATCCATATTCTCCATCAGGCGATATTCTATAATTCTGTGTACGGAAAAAAATCCCCAGAAGATGGAGTCTCAGGCTCAATAATTTAATAAGCACAAAAATAAAAACTGCTGGGGCCTAACTTCATATCGCGTTATATATTACTAAAAATAGTTTTTTTTTTGGTAACATACTAAAAATAGTTGAATTATCTTTCATTATCAATAAATGAACTTGATTCGATGAGCGCGAAAGAGGTACACCTACACATCTTAAAAGATTGGTTAGCTATCCATATCAATTTCTTTTTTTTTTTTTTGGTTTGACTTGTTCGCAATATACCAATATGGAAATTGTTTTTAATTAATTCAGTGTCCATCTGCTTATTTTAAATATGATCATTTGAATACTGTACATGAAAAAAAAATTCTTAAGAGAGCTTTACACCCCTATATTCCAATCCAGCTTAATTTAAATTAGTTGAGGCTTAATGACAATTTTAAAAGCTAATTAATATTGATTACATGAAATCGTGCTCGCATAAGACCCTGGACACATGTGCTGCCATCTAACCGTACTGTTTAAAAGTTTAATTTGATTAGAATTCAAGCAAAACGTAAACCAAACCAAATTAATCCGTTTGAAAGAAATTAAAAAAAAAATCAAACTTGACCAGTATTTTAAAGAAGTTTGCTTTCATCATGCTTGGGAAGGCCACTTACATCAATATAAATGCCAGAGGAAAGTCAAGTTCTTTTTGAAAATCATGACGCACATTAAAAAAATAACCCTGCTATTCGAATCATTTAAATATTTTATAGATAAACATGTGTGCCACTTAATTTTTTTTTTCAATTTTTTATATTTAAATACCTTTATTTTCTATTCATGCCAAACATATAAAGTGGTTTTTATAAAAGACGCATTTGTGTCGCAGTCAACGCTTGAACTATTGACCAAGTCAGCAAGTGTTGAAATAACTAATAAGTCATCATAACAAGTTGCAGAACAGTATAAAAAACATTGCCTTTCGTATTGCCCAACAACTCTTTATTTGTCCTCTTCTTCTTTTTTCCCTCCTTATTTAATTTACTACTAATAAATGGTTTATATTTCATTTTTTCTTGAAAAGATCTGATGGGTTTTTCTCAAAAATGTTAAAAGGAAACAAACACAGGACAAATATCATCCTTCAAATCCCATCAAACGAATTGTTTGAGAATACAGTTAGATTCACCTCCTCCCAGTCCCAGGCTATTAGTTTTTTTTGGTAATAAATTTTAATTTTAATCTCTTAAATTTTAAATAATGGGTTTTAATTCCTCTTCTGATATCTATTAAATTGTAGGACCAATGTTTTAGACAGAAAAAAAAACACCTTGAGTGATCAAAATCTATGATTTGAAACTTGAAAGATCAAAATTAAAATAAAAACAAACTTAAAGAACAAAAAATTATATTAACTTTTTAAATAAAATAGCCAAATTATATTATATGTAAAAAGATAAATACATAATTTTCACAAAAAAAAGATAAATACAAAAAAGATGAGTACACATAAAACAACAATAGCACGCTAGATATCAACTTATATGAAAGTTCACAAAATAAGAACATAGAGACTTTGAATACAACTATTAAGAATACCCGAACAGCAGCCACTGGTTTTCTTAACTAGAAATGCTTACACAGAATTAAATTAATTTATTTAAATAACTTTAACTACCTCACCATGCCAACCGAGCATATAAACTAATATAATATTAACCTTTTTCACAAGTAAAATTATCAGATTGAGTAACATACATTGAATTCGGTAAAAAGGTACCCAGTTTTTTTTTTATCAATTAATATTTGTTATCAAACAACTTACAATTACCAAATTAACCCCAATGCTACAAATCAATGGCTCATATTTATTTAGAATGCATCCTCATGAGCGAAGGCTCCTTCCCAACACAAAGCTAATTGCATATATGACACTGAGTGGATCCCAACCAAACCCCACTCAGAGAGCTTAATGAATATATCAAATTGTCATTACTGCCCATTACATCACTTCAAATTTGAAACACATCACATGTAGGAAAACAGTACAAGGTCCTCCATTTTCAACAGGAAAAGAATATCAATGAATCAAATGGAAACCTTATGTAATATCAACAGAACAGGAAATGTTTTTGAGAAAACAGATATTTCCTTATGATATTTTGAACTAAAGTAGTATCACTTCTTTTAGAATTTTAATTCAACGTATATCTGAAAGGCAACCTACTCCTATTATAAAACTGGTTTCAATGCTTGTCATGATGATGAATATCGTGATTCTTTTTTAATTTCAACTATTCAAATTTAATATGAATGACTAACATTTAATGTTTAATATTTTTTTAAAAAAATATTTTTCTTTAATAGATATATAATTTAAAATAAATATAATATATTAACTGTAAGTTTTTTAAAAAAGGTTTTTTATTTAAAAATCACTAGTTAAAAATTTTAAATATAAATCATCAAAACTATATCTTAATAGTCTAGATCTCATTACAGTAACGAGTATCATGATATTCACCGTCATCCTAGCAAATATTAAAACTAATTCTCACTCTTGGTCAAAAAAAAAAAAACTAATTCTCACATGTATTATTAATGAGGAACCGTACGATGAAGATAAAAAAATAAAATAAAAGAACCATTTAAGAGGATCACTGGATTATGGTGTTGATACTACTACATTAACAGATCAAATCATTGAGCTGTCAGATCATGCATGGAGATTAGTGCTTAAGAGGGGTGATGGCCTAGTTAGACTTAGACTTAGTACTGATTTGTTATAATTATTGTTGCTGACGCTATAATGTAGTCTGGCAAGTAGTAATTAATTACGGTGGCTCAAGCTAGTTAGTCTAATTAATTTAATGTTGGAATAGTGATTAAAAAAAAGAAAACGCATTGCACACATAGCCTAACTGAAGTTTGGAACGCCTATATATATAATCACATGCTTCCTCCTCTTCTCCCCTCACACACTCATTCTTTGTGTTGATTACCTCTTTTATAGTTCCCTTCCTTTTTCTCATTTTATGTCTCTTGTGCTCAGAAAGTTCCATTTTGTCGCTGATACCTGAAACACAAACACAGGGGATATTCTTGTCTCAGGTATTGTAGAACCTTCATTTGTTTTCTTTTCTGCATCTCACTTATTTGACGAGGCTGTACTGTACAAAACATGGATGGAAGCCAATTGCTTAGTTTGTTGTCTATATTACTAGGTCAGAGTGCTTTTTGTTTTAATTTGTTTATGATATGTTATGGTGTGTGTGTGTGTGTGTGTGTGTGTGTAGCTGCAGTTGAAGGCGGGTGAAAGAAAATGCTGGAGAAGGTGGAAGAATTAAACTTGGAGAAAGTGATTGAAGATTTTGAGGCCCTAACAAAGGATGCTGAGAGGGTTCAGAGGGAGACGCTTAGAAGGATCCTGGAAGACAATGCTTCAGCCGAATACTTGCAGAATCTGGGTCTAAATGGAAGAACCGATCCTGAGAGTTTCAAGGCCCATGTCCCACTGATTACCCACAAGGGATTGGAGCCCTATATGACCAGAATCATTAATGGCGATGCCTCTTCCATTCTCACGGGAAAGCCAATCACAACAGTGTCTTTAAGGTCTGGCCTCTTGTTTTGTTTCATCTTGCTTATATTTGCCATTTCAGCAGCTACTAGTTGAGTTGAATCTTACAGAGATGTTCTTTCAGCTCTGGAACTACTCAGGGTAAGCCCAAGTATTTACCATGGAATGACGAATTATGTGAAACAGCTGTGCAAATGAATCAGACCTCTTTTGCCTTTAGGAACAGGTATTCCAAGTTTATTTTCCCTACTACGCTCCATTTGTTTTGTAGGAAAATGAAATTTTCAAGGGAAGAAATTTTCCTTTTAGGCACAAAGCTTGAGCTGGAAGTTGTAACTAACACAATCTCATAATGCAGGGAGTTCCCTATAAAAAATGGGAAAGCCTTGAGCTTTATATATGGCAGCAAGCAGTTCGAAACAAAAGGAGGTCTCATGGCTGGAACTTCTACAACAAATTTGTTCCGACATGAAAGGTACAAAAGCGCGATGAAAAAACTTCAGTTACAATGTTGCAGCCCGGAGGAAGTAATATTCGGTCCTGATTTTCATCAATCCTTGTACTGCCATCTCTTGTGTGGCTTAATTTTCCGTGAACAAGTTCAACTGGTGTCTTCTACATTTGCACACAGCATTGTCCATGCATTTAGAACCTTTGAACAAGTATGGCAAGAACTCTGCACTGATATCCGAGAAGGGGTCCTATCGAGCACAGTCACAGTCCCATCCATTCGAACGGCCATGTCAAAACTTCTCAAACCAAATCCAGAGTTAGCCAACCTGATTGAAAAGAAATGTATGGGACTGAATAACTGGTATGGGCTAATACCAGAAATTTTCCCCAATACTAAGTACATCCATGGGATCATGACTGGCTCAATGGAGCCTTATGTGAGTAAGCTGAGGCACTACGCTGGGGATCTGCCTTTGTTGACTACTGACTATGGGGCTTCTGAAGGATGTCTTGCTGCAAATGTGAACCCTAAGCTGCCCCCTGAATTGACCACTTATGCCGTGCTTCCTCATCTTGGTTACTTTGAATTCATTCCTCCTAGTGAGTCAGAGCAATGCAATGGAGGGTCTGCTTTCCCCTGTGTCGATCCTCAGCCAGTGGGCCTGACTGAGGTGAAGGTTGGTGAAGAATATGAGTTTGTTACCACCAATCCAGCAGGTAACTGTATCTTGTTCACTTTAGCCTTACACTGTAACCATGGCCCAAGCTAGATTTCATTGGGTCATGTGACTTTTATTTTAACTGACTTTTGTGAATTGAAGTTGAGATAAAAATCAGTTAGCATGATATTATTCTTTTGATAAAAAGGACAAAAACTTGTTTGGATTGAAAAGTCAAATTTTAGAAGATTAAAAGAAAAGACAAAAGCCAAAAAGTCAAAAACCAAAAAAGTTGGTTAAACTTTTTTAAAGTGGTTTTTGAACAAAAAAGTTTAGTTGCCTTCAAAAACATTTTTCATCCAACTGACTTTTTCTAGTCCCAGCTGACATCTCAGGTTTTCTAACGCTGTCCCAAACATGCAATGAAGTCTTAACTGCAGACAAAACATACTTATAGAGTCCTCACACAATCATGCTTCTTGATAATAATTTGTTGAGTATTTTGCATTGTCCATTTATTGGATGTGTCTGTAATCAATGGTGGTCACTATTCTTACCGCTTCAGAAATATTTTACAGGTCTGTATCGGTATAGGCTGGGTGATGTGGTGAAGGTCATGGGGTTCTATAACTCAACCCCACAGCTCAAGTTTGTTCGTCGGAGCAGCCTTCTGCTTACCATTAACATTGACAAGAACACTGAGAAAGATCTGCAGTTAGCAGTAGAGGCAGCAGGCAAGCTAGTGGCAGAAGAAAAAATGGAAATTGTTGACTACACAAGCCACGTTGATTCGTCCACAGAGCCAGGGCACTATGTGATCTTCTGGGAGATCAATGGGGAAGCAAGTGAAGAACTACTTAGTGAATGCTGCAACTGTCTGGACAAGTCTTTCGTTGATGCAGGCTACGTCAGTTCTCGCAAAACCAACTGCATTGGCCCCCTGGAACTCCGGGTTCTCAGGAGGGGAACGTTCCAGAAGATTCTAGACCACTTCATAGGATTAGGAGCTGCGGCTAGTCAGTGCAAGACCCCAAGATCTGTGGCTCCTTCACATAGTAAAGTGTTGCAAATCTTGAGTGAGAATGTTGTGAGGAGCTATCTCAGCACTGCTTTCAATTGATCGACTAATTACGGTGGGAAATATGGCAATTAATTTGAAAAGCTTCTTCCTTTGTGTATTTCTCAAATCGGGCCGCTTTCTTTAGATGAAGTTCCTTTTAGGATATTAGTTATCATAGTTTTCGAGTAGGGCACGACTTCCTAGATAATATTCACCATAATAACAGCATATGTTGCCGTGTATTTCAAAGTGAAGTGATCGCAAATGTCGAAAGAAACTAAGATAAGGTTCGCGTTTTGTCCTTAAAAAGTTTTCTTCCATATTCATTTCTTTCTTTTATGCTTCAAGCTTCTGTCTTTGTATCAATGGCTTGGTATGCTAAAATCAGATTCCTCCCTGCCACCCCTATCATCTCTGTTTCGATCTCTGCAAATACCAATGAATACAATTACAAATATGACAGTTTGCTGTGGGTTCATTTAATTGTATGGCAGTATGTGTATTTATGCCTCATAATTAGGTTAATCTTTTATTAAACAAGTCAGGTGTTAAGTTACAAATGTCACGGATCAAATTCGCCCTTGGGATGATGATATAATACCCACTAGCATACCGTGCTGCCATTTAGGTACTATCATTATATTACCATCATAAGAAAATAAGTACTAACTCCACTCGATAATAATTATATTACTATCATTTAGGTATCAATATAAATTAATAAATTGATTCGTAGTAGTTAAACGAAAAACCCGCATACTAAAATGTATGCAAGATCTAATAATACTTCAACAGTAACAGTGCCAATAAATAATCATGGCTAGTCAGAAAGAGGTAATAACAAGCCATATTATGGTATGAAGTGATACGCAGTATAAAGCCAATCAATAACTAATGACTTGTACAATTCCGGGAGAGAGCAACACAGAACATCTAAATCAGTTTTATCCTTTATTTCTTCTGTATAATTCTGATCCTCACTATAACAAATCCAAAGTCTCACAATACACTTGATTGCTATGGGTTTTTCAAATTGATGCAGAGAGTGGAGGACAAAAAGTGAGGGAGAGAACCAAGTTAGCCACAGTACAGCTGCATATATGCTGTTTGCGCATGCTCTATACTCTGTGATCAATTACCTGTATCTTCTGAAGAGATGTTACAATATGGTGGTGGGCAAGCTCGTACATAGTTGGGGCTGCTGTAGCAGTTATAGAGATTAGTCATAGCTCCATTATATTATTTCTGAAAGATTCAGGGAGTAGTGGCCAATATGGGCTTCTTCTGCAAGTTCTTTTGGGGGGGGGGGGGGAACGTGAAACTTTTCAATAGTCTGTGTATGTTTGGATAAGGATAAACACATACAACGTACAAATATAGAGCGAACGAATTGAATCATCTTGATAATATATACAGATATATATATCTTTCATCTACAATCATGTCAGTTGAAAAGGAAGCTGTGGGAAGAATGATGAAAGGGGTGAAAAAGGACACACCACAACGTTGCTCATCTACGAAGAAAATATCTTTATTTTTTTCAGGATTCATGGCGTTCTCTTTCATCTACAATCATGTCAGTTGAAAAGGAAGCTGTGGGTAGAATGATGAAAGGGGTGAAAAAGGACACACCACAACGTTGCTCATCTACGAAGAAAATATCTTTATTTTTTTCAGGATTCATGGCGTTCTGTCATGGAGAAAATAAGAGTTTTCATGATCAAGTGGTCAAGGCTACAGTTACAAATTTTGTCCACACGCCTCAGCTTGCAAACGAGGTGGTAGTATTTTCAGAATTCCTATCATGAGATATATATATATGGGTGGCCACGTTGACCTCCAAATCCTAGTTAATAAAAACAACATGGGAAATGATCAAGAAATGACTCAGCATCAACATGGTGTTTCGAGGGGAAAAAAACAAAAACCAAAAAGGGCAAAAACGGGGCGCATTAATGTGCTGTCCTTTGAATGCTTGAAATTACTGAACCAATGATCATGATTGATAGTGCGGTATTATTATTCAAACAATTGGTACAGTTTTATTTGGAAACTCAACTATCTAATTTATCAGATTTCGCATCGCTACATGAGAAAAGATCAAGCTTTGATTTTAAAGCAGGAAGGGATAATTATTTATGCTGGCTTGTGCTCATGTATTCAGCTGCATCATGATGGGTTCAAGGATATTCGCCATCATGCTTCTCCAATTTTGATCTGATCAAATATATGCATCAACACTGGATCCATGTCCACACACACACACACAAACATGTCTTTCTTATTACATCTCGAGTTAGCTGGATCCATGATAAGGATCTTGTACACACCCACCACCAAATCAAATTAAAGCCTGCTTCTGATCACCCTTTGCCATCTAAGCTTGCAAGTGAAGGTCGTTCATGGACTCTGAAGAATAATTAGGCCCTGCCTTCTATTAATATATTGTTAAATATATAAGCCCTGGTTCAGTAGTAATCAATCAGATCATTATCTAAATTTAAAGTAGCCAATAAATGGACCTTCAGTGTTGTTAGATATGAAATTAAAAGAGACATATATTCACAACGAAGATATCTATTCAAATCCATTATGAAGGACGCGTTAAAAGATTCTGGTGGGATTGTCAAGAGTATTAGATGTGCAGTGGCATTAATCACACTTTACAGTCTGTCAAAATAGTAAGGAAAATATTATAACATCATGTGATTAGAGACTAACCACTGCTATACAAGACAAAACTCCTCTCACATACTTACCTTATATTTCATAAATTACAATTTTAAAAACTGCTTATAAACGGTTTTAAACAAGCCATCTATCATTATCCAACAGTAATAATATACAAGCCATTTTGTTAAGGGAGATATCATTGCGGAGGACCAAATTCAAAAATTAATTATTGCACAAGACTTCCAATATCTGAAATTATTTTGAACGGGTAAGGTCCTTCTTTGAACAAAAAAATCAAATGAAGGGAATTATAATAATTCAAATAGGCTTTGTTTTAAATTAATTAAATTTAAATGGAAAAATAAATTTGACATCATTGTTGTTAGATATAAGAAAGAGGAAGTGACCTACTTTTTTTTAGATTTTTTTTTGCTATACATAGATTTTTTTTAATTAAAGATAATTTTATTCAAGATACTATCAGGCTACTTTGATCAGATAGGTTGACTCTCACTTTTTTTTTTTCATAATTTTTTTCGTACAACATTTTTTTCCAATAATTGTTATTCCTGAAGGCCCAATATGTAAGCGGAGTCAATTAAAGTTGAACATTTGTCAGAAGTTTATTGGGCTCTCAAGGGCCCATTACGTTCTCTAGTTAACGTCATCCACACAAAAAGGTGATAATGCAGTTATCCGGATAAGTGCCTTTCACAATGTACTGGCACTCTGGCAGTGACTTCCACGTTGGAAATTCGCCTTTGTACAAACATCCAGAATGATTAATGAAGCCATTTGAGTTCCCACAAAATTCTCTTCCCAGAAATCGACAGCCACCCTATCTTAAAACACATCCACATCGTTATATGCTCCTTTCTGTCGGTTTTAAATATAAAAGTTAGTTAGAAAATTTATTTTCATTTTAAATATAATGTTTTAATTTACTTAACATCCCAAATTTAAAACTAATTTAAATAATTTTTTTAATTTTTATAAATTAATTATCTAGTTTATATATTAGGGACCGGAAATAGTATTACGTTGAAAATTATTCTAAGCTTATATGTCAATGCAAGCCTATGAATAATTTTGTTTCATTCTTTCTTTGAAATAAAATGAAAGAAAGGATCAGAATCAGATCGTAGAGAAGATGGAGGATGATAAAGGCATTGCCCTATTACATATACCATAGAGGTTTAGAATTACATAGCTATGGAATCTTAATACAGTTCACAAGCATCATCACTTTTGATGCAAATAATCAGTAACAAACTAACAATGGAACAGAGCAGAGAGATTTCAGATCATAAATGAAAAATGTGAAAAAGGCTACAATTTTTGCTTTCTATTTCTTCCACCAACCAATTGTGTCACAAATCCCAGAAAACCCACTTCTCATTTTCCTCTGCTTTTCCTTCTTCCTCTTCCTCTTCCACACCCAACTCACCAAAAACCCACTCAATCTGTTCGCCAGGGAGGAACCTCCATGACTGCCTGAAGATCTCAAGTTTTGCACATCAAGGAACTCTGTGTTCATCTGCTTTGACCCTTCAAGATACGGTAAAGCCATCATGTGTCTTTCTATCATATGAGAGAGTGACGCCAATTCATAAGAATCATATAATGGACTCCCACAATCCCATATGCCAAAAGCTGATTCTTCTTCTTTCTCACAAGTTCTTTTCATCTTTTTTGTCATCTCTGAAAGTGCCAAGAGTTTCTCAAAGTCTTCACCTTTTAAAGTTTAGATCCGCCATGGAATAGGACAAACCAGATTAAATATTTCTGAGATTCCAGAGTTGGCATGCGTATCAGAATCTGCAAAAGGGTTTTTGTTTAACAAATAATTGGCCTGGGTTTGTCTGGGAATATGACAGATCAATTGACTTTAAATAAGAGGTTTAGATCACATAAAGCAAATAATTTATCAGGTCTTGTAGAATTAGATTGCAACTTTCAATTTATAAATAAATCAATTTTTTTGCCAACAATAATAATAAATCAATTGGAGATTATCATTTCAGTGAAATTCATTTCAAGTCATACTTGCTGGTTCATTTATTATTTTCTCTATTTTTGCCAATAATTGTCTGCTTATTTATAGGCACAGAAGTCATAATTTCTTTTTTTATTAAAAAAAAAAACCTCTTAAGTATTTTATGCCATTTATAAACACGGCCGACAACTTATAGAACCCAACACATATCATTCTCAACTAACCAAGTTTTTTTTTTTTAATTAAGAAGATATCTCTTTCATTTGTCGCGGGATCATTTACCTGCAATGCGTTATCAATTTTTTCATATAAAATTATTATTATTACTATGTAATAAAAAACCACCAATCCTACATTTTTTTAACAACTCAGTTTTTAAAAAAATGAAAATGGTAGATTTTGAGCTGCAAATCCATGAAAACATAATAGCTGACGTTAAAAGTGAATTATAATCCGTTGAGTATTTTTCAATTTCAATATTTTTTGAAGAAAACAACAACTAAAATTAAGGAAAAGATTGTTTTGATATGTCTAGAACTAAAACAGAGATAATATTTTTCGACCCCATCTTCATCACTCTTTGGCTCTTTGACTTCCTTTTTGAACTGAGCTGATGTAATAAAAGAATTCTCGATGCTTTTTGTCTTCCACTCTCTGCACAAAGAAGTTGGAGAACCTCGCAATCACTTGTTTATTCAACCTCTTAGCGGCAACTCCTCCGACCTTGAGTAATATCATAAATATTTTTTATTGGGTATCGCTCTCTCCAAGAAAATGACCATTGTCTTGATTGTCTGACTTGGTGGTTGTTCCTGACTAAATGATTGCTTGGTTGAATCTTTCATCCTAAGTTACTCTTATGCCCTTCCTGAGTTACTACTTCATATCCTTTGGCTTTTGTGGTGTTTCCACGGTGAGTTACTTTTTTTTTTTTCCCCTTTCAGTACACCACTATCCCAAGCGTGAATTGAACTCCCTGAAGTGTTTTTCTAGAACTAGAAGGCTGACTTGGTTTATAAAATAACAAAGAGGACAAGTTACTCGTGATTAATAACCGACGAATGCTACTATATAAAATGAATCTGCTCACTGCTTGTAGATCGAATCTACCGAGAATTACTCTATCAGACAGCTATGGATAGATCCACCATTAGTCAATGTTTCTTGTCGCCCACAATACATTTATAATAATAATAATATTAATATGAATAATTGGCATTTGCGCCCACAGAGAGAGAGAGAGAGGATGCGGGCGGAAGGGAGGAATCTGCTGTCGGATATCTGTACCATACGAAGACAGAGACTGAGACTTGAAGCATAGCAAGGAGAAACGGATATGGCGAAAATTTCGAGGACATTTCTTTGGACATTTGCTATCGCTTTTTTATTTAAATACATGGCCACATGTGATGTTTAAAGCGATGCCGACAGCAAATGGAGTACTCAAAGAACCGTACCCAAATTTTGTCCCGAGACAGTAGGTTGAAGAAAGGGGCGGCATTTGATAAATAAACTGGGGAAGCTTTTCAAATTGATATATTTCCAACACTGATCTCATCAGTTGAAAGCAGTACTGAGATAGCTCTTCACAACATTCTCATTCAAGATTTGCAACACTTTACCGTGAGTAGGACCTACACACCTCGGTGTCTTGTACTGGCTAACAGCAGCTCCTAAACCTAGGAAGTGGTCTAATATCTTCTGGAATGTTCCCCCCCGGACAACCCTGAGTTCGAGAGGTCCGATCCAGTTGACCTTGCGAGAACTAACATAGCCTGCATCAACAAAAGACTTGTCCAGACAGTTGCAGCATTCACCAAGTAGTTCTTCACTTGCTTCCCCATTGATCTCCCAGAAGATCACATAGTGGCCTGGGTCAGTGGATACATCAACATGGCTTGTGTAGTCAACAACCTCCAGTTTGTCTCCCGCTACTAGCTTGGCTGCTGCCTCTACAGCTAACTGCAGATCTTTCTCGGTGTTCTTGTCAATGTTGATGGTCAGCAGAAGGCTGCTCCGACGAACAAACTTGAGCTCTGGGGTTGAGTTATGGAACCCCATGACCTTGACCACATCCCCCAGCCTATACCGATACAGACCTGTAAATTATATCAGAAGTTGTAAGAATAATGACCAATAGTGACTAGATATGGATCCCATATATGGATAGTACAAGTACTGAACACAATCCTGCAGTAACATGTTTAGTACATTCAACTCAGCTTATACGTACAGAAAGCGTAATAAAAACATGTCAAATGGGAGTATGCGAGGATTCTGTAAGCATGCTTCCCCCCCCCCCGGGGGGCAGTTAAAGAACGAGTTCAGAAATGGCTTGAACCATGCTGACAGTGAAAAGCTCAAATGAACAAGAAGATAAGATCAAGTTAAAAAATCTAATTGCATGAGACAGAGTATGCAAATCCAAAATTAGGGGCCAATAGCGAACACCTTGCAAGACTATGCCTATGCCACGTTATATTAATCTGATTGGGCAGACAACTTTAAAAATCAGCAAGAAAAAAACAAGTCTAGCAGGTCCCATGATGGCCATATAATAGACATAAGCATCACCCCCTATTTGGACCCACAAGGGAAAGACAAAAGAAGGAAAAAAATTAGATAAAATCCCAGGCCGTCATTTTCTAAAAGCATTTGTGAAGGAGTATCATTTTCCAGGTCAAATTCTCAAATAATTAATGCATTACAAAACGAATGAATCATGTAAGTGCCCTTCATCCTGATTGAAAACCCAAAAGAAATAAATAAAGAGAAGAATTCAGTACCCGCTGGATTGGTGACAACAATCTCGTACTCCTCACCAACCTTCACCTCAGTCAGGCCCACCGGCTGAGGATCAACACAGAGGAAATTGGTTTGCTCAAGCTCAGTGAGAGGGATGAATTCAAAGTAACCAATATGAGGAAGCACCGCATAAGTGGCCGATTCAGGGGGTAGTTTTGGGTTCACATTTGCTGCAATCCATCCTTCAGAAGACCCATACTCAGCAGTAACCAAAGGCAGCTCTCCGGCATAGTGCCTCAACTTTTTCAAATAAGGCTCCATTGAACCAGTCATGATCCCATGAATGTACTTAGTATTGGGAAAAAGCTCCGGTATTAACCCATACCAGTTGCTCAGTCCCATACATTTCTTTACAATCAGGTTAGCTAACTCTGGGTTTGGTTTGAGAAGTTTAGACATGGCCATTCGAATGGATGGGGCCGTAACTCTGCTTGAGAGGACCCCTTCTCGGATGTCAGTGCAGAGCTCTTCCCATACTTGTTCAAAGGTTCTAAATGCATGGACAATGCTATGTGCGAATGTAGAAGACACCAGCTGCACCTCCTCACGGAAAATTAAGCCACATAGCAGATGGCAGTACAATGATTGATGAAAATCAGGACCAAATATTACTTCATCCGGGCTGCAACATTGGGACTGAAGCGCCTTCATTGTGCGTTTGTACTGTGCATTTCGGTACACATTGGTTGTAGCAGTTCCAGCGGCCAGACCCCCTTTTGTTTTGAACTGCTTGCTGCTATAAATGAAGCTCAAGGCTTTCCCATTTTTAATAGGGAACTCTCTGCGTAGTAAGACCGTGTCAGATACACCTCCCAGAAACACTTTGTGACGAGAATCAAGAAAAGAAGAAAAATGTAATTCACCAACTATGGTTTTGGGTGGAAACATTTTCTATAAACCAATTATTTCACAAAAATCCTCTCCTGAAAATGTTCTACTAAACAAATGAAGCCAACAAGGAAAAATAAACTTGAATACCTGTTCCTAAAGGCAAAAGAGGTCTGATATATCTGCATTGTGGTTTCAAATAATTCATCGTTCCAAGGTACATACTTTGGCTTCCCCTGTGTGGTTCCAGAACTGCAAGAACATCTCTATGAGATGCTGCTCAACTAATAGCCGCTGAAATGGTTTGAGGGGAAAGATTATCCTGACCTTAAAGACATTGTTGTGATTGGCTTTCCTGTGAGGATCGAAGAGGCATCCCCATCAATGATTCTCATGATGTAAGGCTCCAGTTCCTTGTGGGTAACCAGTGGGACATGAGCCTTGAAACTCTCAGGATCAGTTCTTCCATTTAGACCCAAATTCTGCAAATACTCAGCTGAAGCATTGTCTTCCAAGATCTTTCTGAGTGTCTCCCTCTGAACCCTTTCAGCATCCTTTGTCAGTTCCTCAAACTCATCAATCACTTTGTCCATGTTGAATTCTTCCACCTTCTCCAACATTTTCATTCACACACCTTCAAGTGTAGCCATTCAGAAAGAAGGCACTCAGACAATAAACCAGCCAAATATTATTTTTGTTTTGTTCAGGCTCATCAAATGTTAGTCCGAGGAGAAAAAAGTGAGATGGGAAAACAGTCAAGGTATATAGAGTGATTGCAGAAAAAGACAAAACATGTAAACATACATTGCATCAGAAAAGAAAAGGGCAGGATAAAACCAAACAGGAGGGGAAAGATTATCCTGACCTTAAAGACATTGTTGTGATTGGCTTCCCTGAGGATCGAAGAGGCATCCCCATCAATGATTCTCATGATGTAAGGCTCCAGTTCCTTGTGGGTAACCAGTGGGACATGAGCCTTGAAACTCTCAGGATCAGTTCTTCCATTTAGACCCAAATTCTGCAAATACTCAGCTGAAGCATTGTCTTCCAAGATCTTTCTGAGTGTCTCCCTCTGAACCCTTTCAGCATCCTTTGTCAGTTCCTCAAACTCATCAATCACTTTGTCCATGTTGAATTCTTCCACCTTCTCCAACATTTTCATTCACACACCTTCAAGTGTAGCCATTCAGAAAGAAGGCACTCAGACAATAAACCAGCCAAATATTATTTTTGTTTTGTTCAGGCTCATCAAATGTTAGTCCGAGGAGAAAAAAGTGAGATGGGAAAACAGTCAAGGTATATAGAGTGATTGCAGAAAAAGACAAAACATGTTAAACATACATTGCATCAGAAAAGAAAAGGGCAGGATAAAACCAAACAGTATGATTCATTTGTGGAAACTTTTTTCACTTTTTCTCGCTGCTCATTTTTCCTCGCTAATGGACAGATGAGTAATGATCCAGAAAACACAGAGGCCCATTTTTAACTTTGAAAGAATGAAGACATATTAACATTCCACATGTACTTCGAACCTCTGAAAGAAGCAGAGAGGAGGAAAGACTTTCACCCCACAGGAAAATTAAACAGCGAGTGAAGGAAAAAGAAACCAATTCAGAAGCCTAGAAGGTGATGAAGTAAGAATTCACATAAACCCAGACAAGGATGTCCAAAACAATTAGATAAAATTTCTCAGTTTTGATAATTTCGTTTTTTTCTTAGTTCGACCAAAGTCAGATATGTCAACAGAACTTTCACACACACAAAAACAAACAGGGAGTGAGGAGACTATTCTTCCAAACCATATCTAATTCATGTGAAAAAGAACAGGCATCAGACCGAGGAATTTCGCAGTTAGAGTTCGAATTGGCAAGAAATAGAGAGTAGTGATCAATGATCAATTTTAACGACTACCGAAATTGTAAAAATGGAAACAACTAAAGTGGTCCATGAGAAAAGAAGAAGATGGCAGAAAGTAGTCTATAAAGATGAGATGTGATAAGATGAGATGTTGAGATAGCAAATCAAGGCCTGTTTAGAGATAATTAGCAGTATTAATTTAGATAGTGAAAACAGAGAACCCAGAATAGAAGAACAAGGACTTCTCCAATTGCTCGAGAAAATTGTATTAAAAAAAGAAAAGAAAGAAAAAGAAGTCAACGGAATCATGCCCTGTTGGTTCCCAGTAAAGTATCAATAGAAAACAGAAGAAAAGGCCGCAGAATTCATCTGGGTTTGCTTCAATTTCAACAAAAACGACGACCATAACCACCAGGACTGTGTAAAAAACTTCTCGAAAGCAAATTGAAGCAGACGAGGATTTTTCAAAAAGTAAACATGAAAGGCAATAAGAAGTTAGAAACATGTTAGAATTGTAAATACAATACCTGAGACAACGTTATCAGGTATCAGCACCAAGACGAAACTTCCCCGGTCAAAGAGAAAGAGACAGAAAAGGAGGGAAACTTTTCAAGAGGCAAAGAAGAGAACGAATGAAGGAAAGGGAATAAACGCAGGATCCTGATGAGCTCAGAGTGAGAGAGGAAGAAGAAAAGGGGGTGTGAAAGACAAAGCTTTACACGACCTTCGCAGCTCAAAGAAGCATGAAAGTTTCTTGCTTGTTTTTTTGGGCCTTAGAGAGAGAGAAAGTCTTAAAGATGGTCTATTCTCTGACTTCTCACCACTGTGGTGTGTGTGAGGAAGAAGAGGAAGACGGGGCTTAAGATTCTTCTCGGGGATCGCATCTGATTATATAGGGCCATTACCATTACCAAACGCCGTCCACTTGCTTCCCTCGAATCGACTATTTTGCCCTTGTGTTTGGCTTGAAATTACTACACAAGTGCGCAATGCCTTCATCTCTTTGTGATCAGAGAAAATGTTTTTTGCAGACCATAAAAAAAAAAAGATGTTTTTTTTTGTTTTAAATTGTAATGTCTTTCGGTGAACATCGTTTTTAAATTTTGATCAAACATGAGGATGAATTTGAAATAGAATTAGTTTTATGACACATTTTCATTGATTCTACATTAACAAGTATGTATTTTTATTCTTTAAATAGAAAATAAAAAATATAAGTAATAATATTAAAATCAAAATGCATAACAATTATGATGATTAATTTTTTTAAATTTTTAATTATTAAAATTGAAAAAATCTCTATTAAAATTGTATTGATAAGAATGAACTGATAAATTTTCATTAAAAAAGAATAACGATACTCTATAATTTTACACACATGGTATTTTGATTTACCTATTTTTGCTAATAAAATTTTTAATGGAAAATTTGTCCTCACTTTCTTCTTTTCATTATTAATTTCATATTTTATCAAACCCTTTTATGATGAAAATAAATCATTCTCTGGCAGGAAAAAAAAAAATCAATCATTCGATTGCTATCCTTTTTATAGAATACTCTCCTATTTCTGGCCTCTAGTGCCATTCTTTTAGAATGCTTGACATAGCTGTAAGACAATGTCTTTCTCTCACACACATATGATAAAACTATGCTGCGGGAAATCTCATAAATTTTGTTCTTTTAATCCAATTTGTTAGAAAGAAAAGATAATTTTTATTCTATTTATAATTTACATTATTAAATTTTTTACATGAACAATTTTTTTTCTTTATTACTGTGTAGGCTTTGTATTTATGAGATATAGTGTATATTAATAATAATAATTAAAGGTGAACTTGAACTTTTATTATATTTTAGAATGGAGTTAATAAAATTTGATATTTTCTTAATTCTAGTAAGATATATTGAAAGTGATTATACCAGAGAAATATTTAGCCTTTGGGAAGAAAGAGAGGAGTATTTAGTCAAGAAAAGTAGATAAAATAATCCGTTGTTTTGTAATAAATAAATTTTAATCTGAGATGCTCTTTTTCTTTTTTAACAAAAAAGTTTAGATGAGTTGGATTCCAAAGACTTACCAGGACCAGAACATGTCTCCAGACTCAGAAAATACTTATAAAAATATTTACAAATTATCTACTAACAAAGTATTTATATCAGTAGTGAGATTTAAATTCACTCTATCGGTTAGTGAGGTGCTCTTATTATTATCCTTAAGGGGAAACAATGAGATGGGGCTTGGGCCTTGGGGTGGACGGACATTTCCTTCAAGCGGTCCCGACACCCCATTGGTTAATCTGCTTCGCATTGACAATAAAATATTAAAATAAAAGGAAAATTTGGAAGCACAGACAGACGATTTTAGCCTTAAGGGCTGGTAGGATTTACGAGAGAAGACAGTTTCGGTGAGACGTGGGATTATCGTCGGCGTACAAAGAAGGGAGTTAAGCAGAGGTCTGCGTCAGGGTACCCAAGTGGGACCCGCCTATGGAAAACGTTAGGATCTCTTGGATGTGGGCTGATTTTGAATTCTTGAGGATTTGGTATCTTTTTTTTTCCTTCCGTCCTCACTCCAATCATTTTTCCCTATTGTTTTGTTCTTTTTCTTGTTTTCAAAGTAATTTTATAAAATTGTTTTTTACAACAAACTTTCAAAAACAAATATTTGTTTGAAAAATAATTTTTAAAAAATCACATTTAAAAAATATTAAAAATCATACTTTGACAGATAATAGTTATCACCAATGATAGGCAACGAATAATAAGTGAGAAAAGAAGCAAATTTTTTGTGAAAATTGCGAATAAAGATCCCGAATATGTAAAATTGTAATTTGAGACTCTCAATTTGGAAATAATAAATAAGAACCAGGTCTTATTTTTACAAATATGAAATCGTGGTGAAATGTTAGAAATATCCCTCAACCAAATGACAAGTTAAGTATAAAAAAATAATAAGTTCACTTTAGCGAATAACAATTTTAATAGATCAAATCACAACTTGGCTAAGGGTATGTTAAATGATAAGTTAACTATGGGAAATGATAAGTTCACTTTAACGAATGATAACTTCAGTAGACCAAATCACAATTTGAATGAGGGGCATTTCAGACATTTTATCCATATTTCATATTTGCAAAGATAAGATCGGTCCTTATTTGTTATTTTTCAAATTCAAGGTCTTAAATCGCAATTTTACATATTAGGAATCTTTATTTACAATTTTTTCAAATTTCTTCGATTTTCAAAACAAAAAGTAAAAACCACCCAAACAAAAATAATAGAACATGTAAAAGTTGTTTTGATTTTTAGTTTTTTAAAACATGTCAATTTTTTAAAAAAAACAATTAACTAAAAACAAATTAAATAAGTTATTTTGTTTTTCTATTTTTAAAAATAAAAAATTATTTTTAAAACATGAAACCAAAGAGGCTCTATCTTTTTCATCATAATGTATCTAGTAATCTGATCTTTTTTTTTTATGGGTCAAGTACCTCAATATCATTTTTTAGTTGTATATCTAAAAATAAAATTAAAATGCTGAACATGTTAAAAAAATAAAATCAGAGTACTAGATGCATATTAAAAAGTATCGGAACGCTAAATAGACTTGAAAAATAAAATTAAGATATTTAATACACCTGTACTCCAAAAAAAGTATTATTACCACATGCTATTTGTACAAGTTTAACCTTTTACAGCAAAATTGATAGTAGCGTGACACTGTTCTTAATTAATAGATGATTATAACCATTTCCCCCAAAATTTTAAAGAAAATTAATAGAACTAAGCAGCAGCTAATTTTACACCATCCTTTTGAAAGCTAAGAGCTGAAAAGAAGGAAACCTAAAATTTTATCTGATGAGATTATAAATAACTCTCCTGAATTTTATATTACGTATAGATAACCTCCTTAAACTCTGAAACTTTATAATAAATTTCAGTAAACTCTTACATTTACATGTATTTATAACTTCTGCACTATAATTATGTTCGTTATTTACTTGCATATATGTTAAAATTGTGTACATAATTTGTAGCTTGGGAAAATTATATACACAAAAGAATATAATCTAAACGGGTATATAATTGATTGTGAGAATTCATTCATTAGGAGCTTTAAAAAAACGGAAAAGTATAATGAAGTTATAAGAAAGAAAAATAATTACTAAAAACTCTCAATGACAACAGAAGTAGCCGGTAATTACAAGTTTTCGAATAGAAAATGATAACTTTTGAGACTTACTTTGTTCCTTATTCTTCCTTAAAAAATTATCTGTACATAATACCAATTTGAAGGAGTTTTGTGTGGCCTGGGCTTCTTTATTCCACTTGCCTCATTCTAAGCATCAATTTCACTGTTCACAATTATTGTTTGTTGTAAGCAAACAGTATTCAATATATTTCTACCCAAATCTCTCGCTTTTTGTTTCTTAGTTATTTCAGCTTAATTATTAAATATTTTATGCTTATGGCAATAAAATTAAACTTCCTCTGATTAAGAGCAAGAAAGAAACGACATATATACATATATGGCTGATTACTCATGAATCGCGTCGATTAACAATACTTTCACACAATTAACATTCTCATATGTCTTTATATATCATTTTAATTATTAATTTTTATAGTTTTCAAAAGTTTGGTTATCTTTTTTATATATAATCTATGCGTAGAAACCCGATTCATTTTTAAAAAAATAAAGAAGATGAAGAAGGCAATGGAAATAAACTATGAGCTGGTGAAAAACTGCAGTTGAATTTATTAGCATAGTACGACTGCTTTAGAATGATGGATAAGGAAAAAGAAACAACCAACGCAGACAAAAAGCCTAGAAGTAGATGAATAAGCCAACTGAAAAATCAAAGTCTTTGTTTTTTTTGTGTTGGTGGGTCGGTGGCCATCAAATAATTCGTATTTGTGAAAGAAACTATATGGTTTACGTTCCTCAGAAACTTTGAGAAATTCTTGCTTTGGGACTATCTACAGATGTTGCCGACCAGCTCCTTTAGGTTGGGAAACGGATGAGAACCATCAAATAAAATCCATACTGGACGGACCAGATTGATTTTCCGACAATGGCCATTAGTCACGTTGCAGAGTAACGCCGTACTCTATGACAGCTATGATGCCATCTCCTATGCTTAGTGTACAAATTAGATGACTAATTCTGATTTATAAATATTAACAAATTAATTTAATTATTCATGTGATAAATAGACGTTGTATTTTCTAAATATCCTTATCAATGTAATGAGATCGCACTTTCATGAACTCTTTTATATGTGCAGTCGCCATATTAATTACCCAGCAGTAAAATAGATAAATATTAGAGATAAAATAAATATAAATTTTATATTTAGAATCAAATTAAATCTTCAATTAGCTCATATATGTTAGGGAACGGAAGTAATATATTATCTCAAATTCTTAATATAAGAGTTACTTAACTAATTTAAGTAAATTAAGAAAATTAAGTGAATTAATTTTTTTGTAACAGATATGGATTGATTTTTTTAAAATATCTTTTTTAATCATGACTACCCCTAGAGGAATTATAACTTTAGAGAACAAAGTGAATTAATGTCTTATATTTATGATCAGATTTAATTTCCAAATAACTTTTATTAAACATAGCAGGTAGTACTATTTTGATAACATATAAATATACACAATACTGCAGCATCCACTACTGGGAGAAAATTTGTCTAATTAAATTCTTTTAACTCAATGAATTCGTTGATGAATGTGTCCCTTGCCCTCTATGGTTCTAAAAGTTGATCACCGACCCATTTTGCAGCATCATCCATGTGTTTAAATTTTGTAGGCCAACAAAAAATAAGGTATCGAAAACTAGAA